AGGTTTGGGGGCCCTCCAAGAAAACGCCATCCTAGCCACCATGGATGTAGAGGCTCTCTACACAAACATCCCACATACAGATGGAATACGTTATCTCCATACTGATTTATACCTGCCTCTGGAAATTTCCATTACTTGCGTCTGATGAAGTGGGCATTCACCCACGAAAGCTTATGCTCCAATACTTCCTTTAGTCTTAAAGGTGCCACAGGACCCTCTGTTGCTTTTTACAGATTCAGACTAACACAGCTACCCCTCTGATACTTAAAAAAAAATGGTATCTTTGGAGCTTAAAGAACCCCTCCATCCCATGAAAAGCCTGGTATTTGGAATATTTTTGTAAGAGTAATTAGTGTGGCATTTACTAAACTACACAAAAACTGGATTGGGTTTTTAAATAAAACTGCATAATTTTACTGTACAACTGGTAGAATTAGAGCAAGATTGACAGCAACCAAAACACACCTTCAACAATTACAAGACTTTACTCTGGCCTTATCCAAATTTAAAGAATATTTTTTAGAAATTCTTTAGTGTATGGAATGCTCTGACAAAATTATGCGCCTATGTGATGTAACATGCATAACACTAAGAACAGGCGTTCTCATGGGGCAACAGATCTGCACTTTTTTGATTGCTCCTGGTTCACATTAACGTTTTTTGCTCAACATTTACTTGTCTTTCACTTGTCTTGAGTTTATCTGCATTCTCCACTAAAATAATGTTTCGTACTTTACCAGATTCCCAGTGATGCCCCAAGATATGGTTCCAAGACTCCCTGCAGAAGTTGGGGCAATTGGACTAGCTGATGATCTAATTAGCCCATGCACATCGTAAATCAGGCAGAATAGCAGAATAAGAAAGGTATGAATAAAGTTTCCATATAATGTACAAGGACAGGATCAGAAGATTTCCAGTGAGTGAATGTGAGTCTCAATGGTGCAGAGAAGTTAGAGGGAAGAATCAGAGAAATAAATTCTATTCTAAGTATAGGTTATTATATCATTATATCATCCCAGTTACCAAACTATTTAAAAACCTCGCAGAGTTAAAAAATAATGTGTCTAATGTTGGTCCAAAAATGTTCTCTCCATTCCTTTGCCTAGGGGAAAGTAAAATAAATAAAAGTGATAAGCATTGCATAGACAGAAAATGGTGACTTTTGTGGCCATTCTTAGGCTTGGTCTACACTTAAAAATTAGATCAACATAATTACGTTGCTCAGGTGTGTGGGGAAAAAAAGCACTCCCTGAGCGACACAGTTATGCCAAACTAATCCCCTGTATAGATGAAGCTAAGTCAACAGAAGAATGTTTCCATCGACTTAGAGCTACCATCAATCAGGGAGGTGGTGCTCCCACACCAACATATAGGCAGCATCTATACTACAGGGTTATGCCAACATAGCTACGGTGACATAGCAATGCCTGTATAGTCTCTCTAGTGTAGACATACCCTTGGTTCTTGCAGGAGTGAATTCCATAATCTAGGACCAGCACTAAGAAAACTCTGTCTCTACCACACAAAAGCATAAGCTTCACTCTAAAAGAAGACCATTCAAGTGGCTCTTGAGGACCAAAGTTGTCAAGGGCTATATAGATGTTTACTATTTAACATTCAACTTTTTATATAGTGCTTAATTACACAAACCTTTGCAATAATCTGCAGGGTCTTCTTGCTCCTCATCATCAGATCCCAGAATCTCCTCCTCTGGTTCTGGTGGTGCTGGCTCTGGCAGGGGCGGAGGTGGGGGCGGAGGTGGAGGTGGTGGTGCAGATGGAGCTTTCTGTTGAGGCTCTGGCCTGAAAATGAAAAGAAAGTACATTAACTGAGAAGCTTGGTCAGGATGCTAATTGAGGGTTTAGCCACAAAATCCATCTTTCAAATTTTAGTGAAATACATCTCATTTATTTTCCCACAGTTATTCTTTATATTATCTGGTAATGCCCCAGGTATTTACAAAAATGTATGTAGGTAAAGCTGGCAAGACGAGATATAGCTTTCACATGAAGGTAAACCATTACACTGAAACATCTCATAAAAGGTTTATAGTATCAGGAATAATTAGACATATAAAAATATTACAAATTCCTAACCAATACATGAAATACTGCACATATGCTTTTAGAGTCTGAAGTACTTGGAATCAAGAAAGAATATTCCTCAAAGATGACCAACGTGGACAAGTTATACCAAGTCTCCTCTGTGACAGCAAACAAAGAAGTTTCAAGAACATATTGCAGGGAGCAATCCTCCAACGGCTATTGAAATAAACTAGATGACTCAATAGGCTTTTTTCATATCTAATTTCTATCAGTAATGTAGAAAATCACCTCAATATGGAAGGAGCGAGTAGTAGTAAATAGGAAGAAAAGTCTAAGCTTTTTAGCTAGCCTTTGCTCAAAATATGCAATGGAATCGATCAATGGAAACACACAGATTTTTACCAAATATGTTTTTGAAATAGTGAATTGTTAAAGACATTTTGTACTCTGATAAATATTCTGGCTTCTGAAGATAAGAGATATCCTATAAGTGAGATGTCTTCTTGGTTTAGCTATTTAGAATACATTTCATATACGATAATTAGAATAATTACAATTAGTATTTTGAAGCTCAGAGTTTTGTCAGATTTTCACATTTTGGTTTTCACCAGTTATACACGTAAGAAAAAGAGGACATTTAGGTACCTATCTGCTAAACATTTTTTTCTTTTCTCTCAAATAGGTTGATGTTGTGGGGGCGGAGGGGGGGTTGTATTCATACTTACAAGTATACAGAAAATCTTATTTGCAGGAAAAGATATCAGTAATATATCGTAGTGCTGTAGGCAAGGTTGATCTCAGCCTTACATCATCAGCATAACTATCTATGCTTATTTTCACATCTACTGCAAATCCCAGCTCTCTGAAAGATCTCATTTAAATTACCAGTATCTCTCCATTAAAACCACAACAATTGAGGACAGGAAAATACATTGGTGTAACATGTTAACTTTTCAACTCTGGAAATCTAAATTCAAATACTGCTCCTTGATCATGACAAAAAATTATTTAGGTGGATTTACCTCAGTCCTACATATATCCATATAACAACACATACCCTTCCACTTTTTTGCACAACATACAGTCTGTTTGGGAAAATACAGCAAGGTACAGTTGGTCAGAAATAAGTTTCCTTGGCAATATGGGGCAGCCTGCACACCAGCTGCTATGCCTTTGCTCTAAGCAATATTAGAACTTGCATGAGTATCAAATTTATCCCTCCTCCACCTCCTCCAGAAACAAATGGAAGAAGTGTAATTACATTCTGAGTAAATTCTGAGATTTAGAAAGACAATTTTGAATATCTTTCATCATCTTTTTTGCTAAGCTATAGACAGGAATAAACAATTATAAAAAATTAAAGATTTGAATGGGAGAGAATAGAAACAGGGGAAGGAAAAACGCATGCATAAGTCATATAGCTAGAGTCCTGCGTGAATATAAAATTTGTATCTGCATCCAATCGATGATCTTCAAACATGGTCTGCGGATATAAAGCAGATATCCGCAGATTTGCAAGGCTCTACATATAGCAATTGTGTTTCTAAATATTTCTTTCAAGGAATTGGATTAATTTTTATTCCTTTTATTCTTCCTTTTTTGTTAGTGTCATTCATCTCTGTACTGCCATTTTTGACTGAAAGAAAACTGAATTTGGTCTCACAAAAACAGCCTCAGCCCAATCACCATCAATCTTACTACAAGATCAATTAATGGACCTGAAATCTACCATCTCCAAAAGCTTGGATTTATTACATAAATGAACAGATAGCATTCAAGCCCAGCTGGATGTTGACAAAAAGCTCTAATCCATTTTTAAAAAGAATTCACAGTGTAAAGCTCCATGTCACAAACCTTGAAACTTCATCTTCTGGACATGAGGCCATTTTGGATACCGTGGTCAAGGACTGTAAACAGTTCAACATTAAGACTGATGAGCTAGAAAACAAATGCACAATCATGAACTTGCACTTGGTTGGCATACCTGAAAACAGTGAGTCAGGTAACAAGGGTATATTTCTGAATGTTTGGAATCATCATATTGGATTATATGACTTTAGAAACTACAGTAACTAACTTCAACCATGAGATTCTACATTGGATAATGTTTCAGAGAGTGTGGCAATAATAGCCAGCTAGAATATATTCCATCACCCCTTACTCCCCTCACTACCACCACCAAAGAATATTTTCACCAGACACCTATGCCAAGGGGCAAGTAGAGCAGAGTGTTGGGTGCAGAGGGAAAGTGTGTTTGGGGAAGGCGATAGGTGAGAGAAGGAGGAGAGAAAGGGTGGGGGGGCAGGTATGAAGTGGGCAGTAGAGTGGAGAGGGTGGTGGGGGAGAAGGATCGGAGCAGCTGTGAGGTCAGGAGTGGAGGACAGGGTTCTGGCACTATAAAATTTAGCAATACATTATTCACTAAACCCTCTCTCTGAAGGAGAGAACTGTGCAAGATGCTAAAGCTACCATGAATCTACAGTGATTTAGTAGCAAGGAGCTACTGTTCTGTTTCTGCACCAGATATTGACAGTACTTAAGGGAGAACTGGGAGTTATCTCAGAAATAGGACTCTAACTTTTCATTACCCATCTTGAAGTAAACAACAAGGGATATCAATAACCTCTCTCCAAAGGCCCAAAGTAGTCCACACTTTTAGAATTTGAAAAAGCAGATATTTCTGGAGAAATAGTCTAACAAAATGAAGCTTCATTTGAGACTTTTCCAACTTACTATATTTGATTTGTTTAAAGAAGAGATTTTTTTTTCTGTTGCAATCCTTGTTATATTTGCTAGCTGGGAATTCAGGGATAGGTTGTTCTTACTGACCTTTGTGTATGTTATATTAGCAATCGTTGGAACAAGGAAGGATGGAAGGAGGATTCTTGAAATAGTTTCTTATCTGGCTATTTAGCATTTTACTTACAAGGTATAAAGTGTTGATTTAAAATTAGAGAGTTCTGTTTTGTCCATGGAGCCTGTAAGACTGACATCTCTGGAAAGGTTAAATTTATTTGCTGCCTGAGAAGAGGATGGGGAAAGACAACACCTGGGTGATTAGCTATGAAAGTACTTCTCCACTTTCGTGGGGGGTTTTTAAACTGAATACATGCTATAGATCACATAAAACTGGTGACTATATCTAACACTTCATTTGGCTGCTTGAATTTTCATCAAATAGTTTAATAAAAACTAGTTATGATACTTTACCAATGTTAAATTTTGTTCTCCCTCTACTACAATATTTCACAGTACTCAGCTGTGCCAGTGCTTATGAAGGAGCACTAACAGGGTTACTTTAGATGTCCTCTTATTGAACAATCAGATACTATGACAGCTACTCTTGTATCCTTCTTTGAGATGTATGAAATAAATATAAAATTAGTTATTGTTGTGATTTTATTTATAACTATAAAGACTACCAAAATGCTAATTTTTAAAAATGTTGTATTTACATTTGTTAAGTGGACTTTAACACACCTTTGGCATTAGAGTCAAAATGCTAAAGTTTTAAATTATAGCAAAAAGCACATATACCAACTTCAATTAATATTTTTTAAAGCAGCATTATCAAACTTCCTATGTAATGCAGTAAGATTTCTAACTAAAGATTATTTACATTATTGCACTTTTATAACATCCCAAATATTAATCTAACACACACATGCTAAAACATACTCACTCATTGTAATTTTTTCTTTCTACATGGGACACCCTGCGCTCTGTGATCCATTATAACTGGATTATTTCTCCTCAACTTTCAAAGCCTGGAGGCTCCTCTTTTTAAAAAATAAAACAAAAAAATTGTCTATCTTTAGAATGTTCTGCCAGCAGGTGGAGCTCTTCAGAGAAATGACTCCCTTTCACTCCCCTGTCAATTGCCCAAGCTAAGATGACAAAACTATCATTCTAATTAATATCATTACAACAGATTAGATATCTCCAGGCAGGATACTTTATCTTATTTGTTTATTATACAAAAAATGGAAATGAAGAATTACAGCAAAGTCAGATCCCAAGCTCTCAATCTCTCTGTAGGAATGCTCCAAAAGAGAAAAAGGAAGGATTGAAGTATTTCCCCTGCAGCTTGAATATAATGCAAAATTTGGTGATAGCCTGCATGTGGTCTTGTAGAGCACGAGGTGCGCACTTCAGAGAAAGAAAAATTATGGATGGGTAAGTAAATTTTTCTGTCCTCTCTTGTGGGCAACTGGTGCTCCAAGATCCCTTACAACTGTGAAGTAGCCAGCAGGAAAACCAATCTTCACAAATGAGAGAGAAATTTAAAACACCAGGAAATTTTAACCAAAAGAATAAACAGCTTTTGTTTGAGAGGCTTTTTTTGTTTGCTAATTTTTTGCTTTTCTTCTTTCTTCCCACACCACATGAAGAGTTTTAATAAAGGAAAAGCAAGAAAGACGTCAGAACCCTTTGTCCAAAAGTCAGACAAAGACAACACAGCTACTTTAAAGTGATGGATAAGAATACACTGAACACCAGGTAGCCATACAGCGAAGTTATTTGAACGAAACATTGTTCTGCATGGGGAATGGCCACGTGTCTGAATGAGTGAGCCCTCACAGAGCGAGGGCAATCTTGTATGAACAATTTGTAGATCTGACAAGTTACTGAATGTATCCATCTGAAAATAGTGGACATGGATGCCTTTGTGCCCCTTATGTCCCTCAACTAATCCTGAAATTGCATCCAATTTTTTTTAGCTTTCTGTAAACAAAATTTGAATGACCTGATCACATCTAAAGTACGCATCTGATTCTCCTAGTTGTGAAAGGTCTTGGTACACACAGAATGAAAACAGACTGGCTGAAGTAAAAAGAATTTTGGGGGACAGAAAATTCTGGTGCAGGCCTGAGAATCACCACTTCTGGGAACAACTGCATATAAGGATTCCAGATGAATAAATCCCCTGAATTTACTAACTCTCCTGGCCAATGTAACTGCTAACGGGAAAAACATTGAATAGAAAGTTACAGGAATACTCCTCCATACATTTAATAAAAGAAAGTTCAGGGATTATTTGAAGTATATGATTCTACTAGTCTCTTGACAGCATCTCTGTAGACCCACATCTTTAAGGAATGAAATATGAGGCTGCTGCAAAAGAAGGACTACAAGTAGAAATACATTTTATGTTTAAAAATGTAGGTCTGAATCTCTTCCATGCAGAAGGATAGGAGGAATAATACACCAACTGATCACAGTACAGTATTTGCATTTCTTGCAGTACTTCATAATGTTGCCATGGCAACTGGCTATGATTTCTACTGCCATCACCAGCTGCCAGTATACATTGTATGTAAGTGGAAAAATCATTTAAATAATAACATAAGAACGGCCATAATGGGTCAGACCAAGGGTCTATCTAGCCCAGTATCCTGTCTTCCAACAGTGGCCAATGCCAGGTGCTTCAGAGGGAATGAACAGAATAGGTAATCATCAAGTGATCCATCCTGTCACCCATCCCCAGCTTCTGGAAAACAGAGACTAGAGACATTTATATAATATGTAATAGAAGAAACTTACAAGGTTTATGATTGTTAAATTTATTGGAGACCTGAGGCCTCATTAAACTTGCTCAAAGATTTTTCAGCTTGTTTCTGTCAAACCTCTAAATTAGCTTAACATTATTAACCTCAAAAACCATAGCATTGGAAATATACATATTTGTGGACCTTATTATAATCTTGTCTGTTTTATTTTGAGTCACAGAGATGAACAAGCCTGGCGCTCCACTAGGGCAAAATTGAACTATTTTATCATTAGAGAGTGAGACTACCTCTAAGCTTTATCTCAGATAAAAGCCACAATTAGAAGCTAAAGATATTCTTGGAATAGGAAATATCTCCCACCCCAACACACTGCACTTGCCTTATCTGAAATCTCAGTGAATTAACTGGATGATATCTTATTTTTTATTTTGTTCTTTTTCTCTCTCTCTTTTTAAATGAATTGATTGCAGAAATCACTGCAATTAAAACAAACAAAAATGTACCTGTAATTCTTGTTCTCTGAATATACTGTGAATAATGGATTGGTGCACCTAGGCTTCAGTCTCAGGACTGAGGGCTAGAAGCAAAATTAACTCAAGCTTCCAAAAAGTAATTCACCCCTGGGATAAGACCACGCACAGACATTTTCAACTCGAAACAGGGCCGGCTCCAGGCACCAGCGCAGGAAGCAGGTGCTTGGGGCGGCCAATTCAAAGCGGCGGCACTCCTTACGGTATCGGGGCGGCACGTCCAGGTCTTCAGCGGCGGGTCCCTCATTTCCTCTCTTCCTCTTTGAGCTGCCACCGAATTACCGCCGAAGAGGAAGAGAGGGAGGACCCGCCGCCAAACTGCCGCAGAAGAAGTGGCGCGACTCAGCTGTCGCCGAAGTGCCGCTGCTCTTTTCTTTTCTTTTTTGCCACTTGGAGCGGCAGAAAAGCTGGAGCCGGCCTGGACTCCAAAGAAACTATTTAAGTTAAAAGACAACTGAAAAAGGAGGGTTAGAATGGTGTTTTTCATCATTGTCTAAAGCACTTGTGGACAGTGAATGCTGTTGTAAGAGACTTTATATATATAGATACATAGATGTCATCTTGTCTCTATCAAATCTAACCATTAGAGCTCGTGACAACATTTTAGTCAACGCTGAAACATCTCATGGACATATACTGGTTTAAAAAACATTTGCTTTGTGAAGTTTTGTTGAGAAAGACTCATATTCTGATAGCCTAGTGCCTAGGTCAATGCCCTGGGAGACTCAGGTTCAAGTCCCTGCTCTGCCTGATTCAGAGTGATGTGGGATGAAGTATTCTACACTGAATCAAGAAGAGAAGAGACTGGAATCTGCATTCCAAGCCAGTGCCCTAATTACCAGGCTATGGAGTGCAAAAGTCTCAGTCTCTTCCTCTCACCCAAATCGAAAATGTTTGA